TTTTGGTTTGTTTGTTCATTTGTTTCTGGTTCATTGTAATTATATATAGTAGTGAGATTCATTATGTAAAAGCAGTTTCAAAAGTCAGCCACTATTCCTTCATTTATAATACCTAAATTTGAAGTTACCATCCTCTGCTACTCACTCGTATCTGTTGTGATTATTTCTTCCAAGAGTGAACAGTTATTTGGTTCATATTGAATAGAACTGATTATCACCATTCTAATGGCAATAAAGGTTTTATGGTACTCTTCCATGATCACAGCTTGATTTACTTGGTTTAGGTTTTTTCATAAAATGGATGAGATTAAGACACTGTATGAATATGTAGGACATTTATAATTATCTGCTTGTAATTAAGAGCAATGATTTAAACTCTTACAGAAGTGCTATAGATTGATTTGGTATGCAAACAAAGTAAATTGTTTTTTAGTTTTCAATATGAAAATTTATGACCAAAGAGTAAGAATTACAGATTCAAATCCATTGTTTAAATAATTTCTTTATATTTTTTTAAATCTAGGGTTTATTCAGTTTTAATTTTAAGTATCAACATGAAATTGACTGTAATAATAACTTCAGAATGAATATCCAGGGGGAAAATGCCCCAAAGCAGCTTTTTCGGTATATCTGGAGCATATGCTAATAGCCTAATGTACATTTAAGACTTGTGTATGAGTATACATAAAAATATGGGAATGTGTGATAACCTCAAGAATTTGGGGAAGATAAGAAGTGAAAATGACAAAGGATTGAGGACCAAAAAGGTTGGGAAAATGAGAGGTACTGGGGAAAGAGGCAGATATGAGAGCTAGGAGGAGACTCAGGAGCATGTGGAAGTTCCACTCAAGATTTTCTAGGAAGTGATGGTTCTTTGGACATTACAAAGAGGCCAAGCTAGATATGGGCTGCAGCCAAGGTTTCCTCACTATATACAAAGGCACTTGTCATTTCCCAAATTAGTGGAAAACAAGAATTCTTTTCATATTTTTGATCTAATTTTTTTCTTTTCTTAGTTTCCATGATTTTAGGACACTTGTGTTTATATTTGGATTTTAAACTAGATTTGGAAAGGTATAAATCAGCAGGTTCTTTATGAACACATAATAAATTGTACTTATAGAGAATATTTCTAGAAAGAATCACAAGAAATTGGTAATTAGCCTTATAGAGGGCAATATCTGAGTCATCCTTAAGGAATAGAGATTGGAGAGACTTTCCATTTTGTACATTTTTCTGTTTCTCGAATAATGTTTTTTTGAATGTATCACCAATTTAAAAACTTAATGAAATTAGAACTAAAAAATAAATTCATCATTTTGAGCTTTTATAGTTATAGGGTAAATTTTTAAGAAATTATTGTGGTTGCAAAAAATACTGTGGTTTGGTCCTCTGAATTCATGGTCCTTATTGCTTGATCTTTTAGGGAAATAGGTGGAAGTTATTAAGCCAACATTAATTAAGGTAGCTTTGGTCAAATATACTGTATTAAAGAATGGGGGGGGCTGGGGATGTGGCTCATGGGGCTGGGGATGTGGCTCAAGCGGTAGCGCGCTCGCCTGGCATGCGTGCGGCCCGGGTTCAATCCTCAGAACCACATACAAACAAAGATGTTGTGTCCGCCGAAAACTAAAAAATAAATATAAAAAAAAATAAAAAATTAAAAAAAAAAGAATGGGAATTGATTTTTACTAATGGAAAAATTCAACATGAGTATCTCAAAGGCTTGTCTTCTCTCTGCAGTAATAGTTTACTGAGGCTGAAGTGTACATGGAAATTGATTAAGTAGATGACTGTTTTCAGATATGATGCCTTTAATCCTATACCTAGAATTCCAAACAGAATAAGAGTGCCTATTTTATATCTACTCACCTCATTAAATTTTTTGTGTAATTGTAAGTATTGTTTGGAGAGCTTTACTGTTTTATTTTTGTGTATATAATCTGTTTATATGGGTGTTAATTATAGAAAACGTGTTTTTTATGTAAAAAAAATTGAGAAAAGCTTCACTTGAGATTCAAATTGTTCATTTCAATGTGTCTTTTAATAGAAATTTAGCTGGAATATAAAGTGTTTCTCTAAAAAGTATAATGCTGTTCAGTTTTCTCTCTGTATCAGAATTTGAATTAAAAATAGCAAACACTAAACATGTGCATCCAAAGATATGGATGTTGTAAACACTGGAGTGTATATTAATATTATTTAAATGGATGATTAATATAAGGAGCCTCAAGGTTTTGGAAACAATTCAGTAAAATGAAAAGTTGCTTTTGGTGTCTAGAGCCAAGCTGATAAATTACAGTGTAAAAAATTAGCAATGATTTTGGATCAAATAATATTATTTATGTTTCTTACAAGTGGAAAACTGAACTACCTGTAAAATTATTATAGAATTGTAGGTACACCAAACCAAGTTTGACAAATACAGTGGATAGTGTTTAACAAGGAAGTATTATTTTCATTGTTGGTTAAGGGTCCTATAACTTGGGTCCGATTTGCTGTTTCTCAATGGGTGAAAAGCTATTTTATTTCCAAGGATAATGGTGATTATTGGCAGCCCTCCCTTTACAAAGTAGACTTTAGTTTTAATGAAATATTATATAAATTTTCTATAAAGTAATAAATGTATTAGCCGTATTTTCCCTTTTACTTATTTATTTTGTGATAGTGGAGATTGACGCCAGGGCCTTGCACATGCTAGGCAAGCACTCTACCATTAAGCTATGTCTCCCCTACCCATACTTTTAAATTTTTATTTTGAGACATGGTCTTACTCAGTTGCCTATGCTGGCCTTGAACTTGCCATGTTTTGGTGTCTAACTGGACACTTCTTCTCAGTCTTTTGTCTTGGATCCTTCTCCTCTTTGTGATCTCTGATTATTGGAGTGCTCCAGGACTCAGTGTGTGAATGTCTTTTCTTTTCTCTATACTTTTTTCTCTATTGTGGTTAAAACAAACAAACATAAAATTTGCTATCTTAACCATTTTAACTGCATGGTAATGTTAATTATGTGCATCTTGCTGTGCAGCCAATCTCTACAGCTCTTTCATCTTGCAGAACAGAAATGCTTTACTCTTTGAGCCACTCCCCTATTCCACCCTCTCTTCTCTCCATACTCTTCCTCTCTAGGTGTTTTCATCTAGTCTCCTGAATATAAATCATGTGTTTGTTACTTTGCTTTAGAATGTTTTTAGCTCCCCCTCCTCCGTTACTTTACTTCCATTTTGCACACTTTTTCTTATTGTCTTCCTTTCTGTTTCTATTATCCTTATTTAGAATATGTACCATTCATCAAATTCTTACATACCAAGCTTCATTGCTTTCCAGATTTTCATGTTCTCCCATCTTGAATCTTTATCAAAGTATGTTTATTTTTGTTTTCTCAAGTTTCTCTCCCCAGATGGTTTCTATGAGTAGTGTTGTATTGAGGATCTTTGTTACCTTCAAGCATCTTTTTGCCATCCTTTACAAAAAAGAGGTAGATTGGCTGGGAATGGAGGTTATTTCTGCAAATGTAAGAAGTGGTGACACATTCCTGTAGTCCCAGCTATCTAGGAGGCTGAGGCAGGAGGATTGCTTGAGCCTACATGTGTTTTTTTTGTTGTTGTTTGTTTTTAATATTTATTTTTTAGTTGTAGTTGACATAATCCCTTTTTATTTATTTAATTTTATGTGGTGCCAAAGATTGAACCCATGATGTTGCACATGCTAGGTGAGTGCTCTACCCCTGAGCCACAACCCCAGCCCTTTGAGCCACATGTTTTAGACTAGCCTGTGCAACATAATGAGATCCCCATCTAGAAAATTAACAGGAGCGGGGGAAAAAGGAAGAATAAAGAAGAGAAAGTTCTTCAAAATAATAGGAATTAAAACTCAGTTTGTCGATAGGTGTAGTACATATACTGTAACATATAATTAGATATTTAACTTATGCCAAAAGATGCTGACACTTGTTTTTTTTTTTTTTTTGCACCTTCACACAGCATTCTTCTAATCTCTATGAAATACCAATGGTGAAGATTAAGAATTGAAATGCAAGTGACCACAACACTCAGAGCAACCAAGAGATCTTTATTGCAGCAGTGCAACAAAGGAGAAAAGAAAGAAAAAGAGAGAGAGAGAGAGAGAGAGAGAGAGAGAAGAAAGAGAGCAAGAACAAGAGAGACAGAGAGAGCAAGAGAGAGAGGGGGCTGGCAGGAGGGAGTTTTTATAGCCCAAATCTAATGAGGCCTCTGGGTCTGCAAGCTGCCTTGTTGGCACAAGGGGGGTTAAGTGTTCTGCCTTGAGCGGGGGTTGAGTGTTCAGCTTTGATATAAACAGGTGATAAAGGACCAGACAGAGGGGGGTTTGGGTGCGTGGGCTATCCTGCAGCTAACATTTGTTCAACCTGCCCTGCAGATAACATAGTTCAGCCTGTCCTACACTTAACAAGAATGAAGTGGGAAGTCATTTGTACCATCACTTGCCATTTTGTCACATTTTGAAGGGTCAGTGCCACTCTCCATGGGTAGGCCATGGGCATAGCACATCTGAAGCTTTAATACTACCACATAGCCACATACCTTTGCCAGCTGGAAAATCATATAAAATCAGAACTGGCCCATGTTTCCTCTACATTTATAAACATCTCTTTCTAGCCTGGTCCTTAAGTATTTGTCAGCATTTTATGGTAGTGTCTCAAAGAGTAGAGCATTTCTGTTCTGTAAGATGAAAAGAGCTGTAGAGATCTGCAAGATGCACATAATTAACATTACTGTGCAGTTAAAATGGTTAAGATGGCAAATTTTATGTTTGTTTTAAGATGATTGGTTTGATAATTAAGAAATTAGGGACTGGGGTTGTAGCTTGGTGGTAGAGCACTTGCCTAGCACTTGGAGGCACTGGGTTCTCTCCTCAGCACCACATAAAAATAAATAAATAAAATAAAGATATTATGTTCATCTACAATTTAAAAAATATTTAAAAAACAAGAAATTAATTTTTTTTATTATTTTTTCAGGTGTATGGTGGCTGATGAAGTAAGTATTTTCACATCTTTTATAAAATTATACAACAAATTTTTAATGAACTCTGTTTTCCATATTCACTATTCTCCTTTGGTTTTCCATGATTATATGTGTTTATGTAGAAAGACAGAGTGATGAGGGAGAAAGATATGCAGGGTGGTAGAAGAAGAAGAAAGAATGAGTATGTATTATGTGTTTGTGTGCCAGGGTGTGCCTGGGTGTGTATGTGTGTGTTTGCAAGGCATATATCTGGGAAATATGTTAATATTAGTCACTCCAATTTTATATTGTTTCCTAGGATGCACAAATGTGTTTTGAAATGTAGCCACTCAAAAACTGAACTCTTCCTTTCATAGTACTGCTTGAGTAAAATCTGAATTTTAATTATTTTGTTCTAAAGGTTATTGTTAATCATTTCCTATGAGTATTAAATAGTGCTAAAATCCATTTTATTTTCACTAAACACTTTTATACAATTAAATGGCATGTACATATCTCATATATGTCCATTTTAATGTTTTCTCGGTGAAATTGAAGCTCTTGTTACATAACTATGATACTCAAGTACTTTCTGAGAATATTATAGTACAAATCAAAGTAATTTTAATACCAGTTTGAGAAATGTATTGCTGTTTTCATGATGTTTTTAAGAAAAATAGCAAAATATACTTTTCAAAATACATTGGAAATGAAAGAACAGGAAACAATAAAAAAATAGTAGTGGAATCTAGTTTTTAATTCTTCTAATTATTGTGTTTTAATCTTAGTTAAATATAAACTCCCATCAATATCTCATCTCTACAGTCTCTTTTTCAGGAAGAAAATGAGCAAGAATATTTGTGAATACTATATAAAAAAGTTGATGTTGGGATTCTCTGTTCATGCTGATTTGTAATTACCTAACTTTTTAGTTTAGAGTTTTCATTCTATTTAAACTAGATGTTATTACTGGAAAGTTAATCATAGCCTATGAAGGATTTGAGCAATATAATTGGAGAAACAAGACACAGACGTTTAGAAGCAATTAACAGAAATTTCTCTTTCAGAACAGCAGGAGTTTCAACAGGCTCTCCTTAATTAATTTTAAGAATCCAAAATGACTTCACAAGGCTTGTGTTTTTTAGTACTTGAATATGTTTTCATGAAAGAATGTAAATTCATTTTAAAAACCTCTAAGCTAGTCACTCTAACCATTTTCTCTTACATAGTATCTATGTGTCAAATATGTATGTGATATATATGTATGTGTCTGTGAATATTATTTCAAAATAGTCCAGTTTTAGGGGAGGTATTGAGGGATGAAATTGACCAAATTATGTCATGTATGAATATATAACAAGTAAGTCCACTATTATTTATAATTTTAATGCACCAATGCTGTGTGTGTGTGTGTGTGTGTGTGTGTGTGTGTGTATGTGTATGCCAGTTTTATGTCCACAGAAAATATAAACGTTAACACCATTATTGATGATCTTCACAAGTAAGTCATGAGGAAATTTTAGAGGTCTTGGTACATCATTGATACCCTGGTCTTAACTTGATTTTCAGAGATTTGAATAAGCCTTTAAATTAAAGGCTTATAGATTACTATGGAATCTCTCATTAATTGAGAGAAACATTTGGTCAGCACCTTAATCCCTGTTAACGTTGACATAATTCTCCAACAAACCCCTCTTCTCCTCAGTGAACAATATACTTGAGCATGCAGAGTTCTTGATGAATCCTTAGCCAGCATATCTTCATTATATTGATTGCTTTTCATCACTTTTCATAGCATGCTTTTCATAGCATGCTTTTCATAGCATCTTTCACATGTTGAATTATTTGTCATCTTTCAAAACCTTAGTTTTTACTTTAATAAGTTTAAAAGAGCCTTTTAATAGTTCCACAATTGCATTTCTCATAATGATTTTCACTAGGATTTTAAAGACTGATTCTTTGCCACCTAAGGGACTTAACAGGGTTTGTAATGTTAAATTCTATTAATAATATTAATTAAGAAAACTTTCTCACCTTTACACATGAGTATGAAAAGCAGGCTATAGAAATTAACAGTCTAAGATCACAACTCTTAACCACTAATATTCTCTATTAGTGATAGAATTGAAATGCAATTTTTTTGGAATATTACTGAGTTGCTTTAGATGAAAGTAAATCAAAAGTGCTGAAGTAGAAAGAACTTGTATATATGTAAATTATATGAACTCTAGTTTGACCTTCATTTTATTTCCTATACTGTTCTCCTTTTGCTCTCATCATAAAATGGTATGAAGTTAAAGAAAGGAAATGCAGTCTGTAATTTGAAGTTCAACCACTTTTTGATTGTTAAATTCAAAAATATATTTTGATAATGATGAGTATGTGACTCATCAAATAGCTGGGAGCCTTAGGAGAGCAATTTTGCATCTGTGTTATTGAACCTACTTTTTTTTAGATGCTTGAATACCCACTTGGAGTATTGTGTAATTTAACTGTCTGCTGTGATGTTTCTTCCCTAGATTTAGAAACACATGACTTCCTTCACTGGTGTTACCCACCTCTTAGTATCTTTCCACTATTATCTTTTTTTTAATGTTTAGTCTTTGGAGGACTATATAATCCACCTTCTTGATGTATATAAGATAGTCATTAGTTTAAAATTGAAATGACTTAATTTGTTTAATTGTGTGATCATGTGTTTCAGTTTTAAAACTACTTCTGATAAGCAACAATGCTGCAACATTTAATAAAATGAACTTTTTAAACTTAGCTTAAACTCTTAATTATTTCTTTTTTCCTTTCTCTTATTTTAACACAATTGTTGTTTCAAGGACTGTATAGTGAATATACAGAAACACTTAGGAATTTGCATTCCATAAATAATAGATTCAGACAACAGTCTATAGTCAGGATTTTGCAGCATTATATTATACATTTTTTTTTATACCAGGGATTGAACTAAAGGGTATTGACTGCTGAGCCACATCCCCAGCCCTATTTTATATTTTATTTAGAGAGAGGGCCTCACTTAGTGTCTCACTTTTGCTGAGGGTGGTTTTGAACTTGCAATTCTCCTGTCTCAGCCTCCCAAGCCACTGGGATTATAGGTGTGCGCCACCATGTCCAGCTTCACGTTGTTTTTTTTTGTGTGTGTGTGGTGTTAGGGATTGAACCCAGTGCCTTGTACACGAGAGGAAAATATTCTACCAACTGAGTTATATCCTCAGCCCTATACATTATTTCTTAATAATTATTTTTAAGCACTGTCCTTGTTTTTCATTTGAGAATTATTAAAAATGTTCATTCTCAAATAGATAATGTAAACATGAAAAAGTTTCACATTAACACAAACCAGGTAATTCAGTTGGCTGGTATCTGAGGAAAAGTACTAAACCTACATATTTTCTTTTTTAAAAATTAATTTTAAAAAAATGACAGCAGAATGTATTACAATTCTTGTTACACATATAGAGCACGATTTTTCACATCTCTGGTTGTATATAAAGTATGTTCACATCAATTCATATCTTCATACATGTACTTTGGATAATGATGTCCATCACATTCCACCATCCTTGCTAACCCCCTGTCTCTCTCTTTCCCTCCCACACCTCTGCTAGAGTTTGTCTATTCCTCCCATTCTCCCCCTCCCTACCCCACTATGAGGCAGTCACCTTATATCAGAGAAAACATTCCGCATTTGTTTTTTGGGGATTGGCTAACTTCATTTAGTACTATCTTCTCCAGCGCCATCCAGTTGAGTTTGAAAAACTTTATCAGATTTCTTTGCAGACAGAAATCTGCAGGTATCTGGAAATGCTGAAAGAACCCCTTTGGAAGGTTCTTTCTGCCCAGAAAACTTTAAAATTGAAATGGTGATTTAGACTCTCCCAATATTAACTTTATAGTTGTGAGGACTAAGAAATTAAATTTAACATGAAGTTTTAGTTTTCCTTTCATATGAGCCTACCCGTGTTTGACAACAAAGCAAGCTAAGATTGCAATTTTTATTTTATTGTCTTCTATAGTTCCTAGTTTTCTTTCATCCTGCCCTAGTTGAATTTAACATGCTCTTCTTTTTGCTCTTTCTATTTCCAATTCATAACTCTTCATTTCAGCCCACTTTTTCTGAATGAATGAATAAGTGAAATAACTGATTAAATAGTTTATACTTAAATCTCACATGGCATGATCTGTCCTAGTGCTTTACATGTATTATTTAATCCCCATCACAACCTGTGGGTTTGTGTTATTATTATTATTATTTGTTCTCTTTTTACATACGAAAACTGAGGGATAGTAAATTAAGTAGATTGCCCAAGAATATCCATCTAAAATAGCCTGGGACCTGGTATTTGACCTGAAGTAATCTAGTACCCAAGTCTATCAGTTACTTTTTACTTATTCTTTTTTTTTTTTTTTTTGCTATTGGGGATTGAATGCAGCAGTGCTTAACCACTGAGCCCCATCCCCAGCCCTTTTTAAATATTTTATTTAGAGACACGGTCTCTATAAATTGCTGAGGCTCTTTGAACTTCATCTTCCTGCCTCAGCCCAGCATGTTTATTGTTTTTCTTTTACTTCTTTTCTTTTTAATTTTAATTTTTACAATAGTAGGGGTTGAACTCAGGGGTGCTCTGCTACTGAGCTATATCCCCAACCCTTTTTTATTTTTGTTTTCAGATACGGAGTCACCTCTAAGTTGCCAAGCCTCACCATAAATTTGGAATCCTCCTGCGTCAGCCTCCCAGATTGCTGAGATTACAGGCACCCAGCTTGTTTTAACATATTTTTTTACTTTTAGCATTATACTGTGCTTCAGACTCATCTCATATGTATTCTACCCCAGTTCTAAAATCAGTTATTTCTCCAAGAAAATTAATTTGTTTTATTGAAGAATGATGCTAGAATGAGGATCCGGGTACTGCATGTGCTTATTTTTACTGAGGCATCTTTCCTTCTAGGTTCTATTAGCTGACAGAAAAGGAGATAAATGTATGTATATGAACTTTCATATATTTATACTCAGATAT